TTCGCGCTTTAATATTATTAATCTGGTTGTAGAATGAAAATAGTCTTTGTAAAAGAGCTTTATTTTGATAATCTTTACAATCTTCAATGAAAAATTTTTAGTATTTGTTCCAAATAATATTACCAAAAAGATTTTCAGACATAATAAACCATGCGAAATATTTTCGTAGTGGAAAAAAATCGTGTTCTACTAATCCCATAGAAATAGCTGTTTCCTCATACGTACTGTAAGTGATATCATTAACAGTTCTTAAATCTATAAAAAAAGTTTCTCCTGCTCCTTTATTCAATATCAATTTTAAATAAAATCTTTCCTGATCTTTTGGATAAACTACATTTAATCTGTCGATTGTAATATTTTTTTTAACACGTTTCTGTTTATTTCATTGTTTGCTTTCATTGTTAAGTGTATAGTATTCAGAAATATTCACGTATTATATTGATTTTGCACTTTCATCAATTTTATTTAGTTCAAACCATGCTATTAGAGGGGTTTTCCCATTTTTAAGTAATTTAAAAAAAAAATATTAATGATAAAAGCAGGATAGTAGTAGTAGTAATAGTAGTAGTAATAGTATTAATAGTAGTAATAATAGTAATAATAGTAGAAAGTAGTAGTAGAAGTAATTTATAATTTTCTTACACAGATCTATCTCCAACTTTAAATTTTTACTTCAAGTTCTCTGTAGATGTAAAAGGAAGAATTTTTTTTTGTTGCAATTTGAGAGTCTAATTCGCTGTCAAATTTTCGTTTAGACATTTTGTAACTTTTTAAAACGAATTTACGATGTAGATTACTTTATTTGCTTAATTTGGCTCATAATAATATTAACAACATAACAATTTATGGAAACGGATTAAAATTGTATTTGTGTATTGCATGTATATGTGTATTTTAAAATATCAATACATTAACATATCTTGGAAATTTGCCTTGTATACCATCAACGATAGATAAAAAAAATGTAGACGCAAGTGCCATACTCGAGTACTTAAAATTGCTTGAACACCTAAATCTCATCGAAAGATCTGAAAAAAATGTAGGTGACTTAACCCATGAATAAAAAATATTATATATTCGTCTAATAACTTGAAACTATCTAACAAAATTCATGAAAAAAAAAAAATTGAATAAGATCGAGAGTTGTATGTTATTTACACAGGAAATTGATTTCCCTGGTCATAGGGTAACCTAAAAAACCAGTACCAACTGACATGTATGATTTATTTACTTTTTAAAAATTAAAAAACTCAGAACTTTTCCATTTTTAAAGTGTTGAACTACGAGAATCGTCGGCACGAGTAAAATTTTAATTTTTTTTAGGCTGATGTTTGCCGACGTTGTGTGCCTGCTCTTGCTTGCGTGTACCACGCCAATCGCCATTAAACGATTTTTTTCACGATATACTGGTTATAGCTATGCACACGCAGATAGTAGCTTTGGAAAGCAATTGTGACACAACAGTGCTTGCGATCTCTTTCGGAGAAATTGTCAATAATCATATTCATTTATTAGTATGGTTTTTTTTATTTTTATTTTTTTTTTTACAAAGAGAACCATTCATGTTGAATCAGTAAATCGATCTCCGATCGACATTCAACTTATATAGGTACAGAATTGTAGCGCATTTCTTTATAAAATATTATTNGTAAAAAACAAGAACGACTGACATCTTGTTTGCAAATATTGAGAGTTTCACCTCCAATAGTCATGCACTTATTTACCTATATGCACAGGGTAAAAGTAAGAAACCCAGAATTTCAGAGTGATTTTCTATAAAATCATTAATGTTTTATACAGTTTTATTGTGAATTGAAAAAATATTTTAGCATCCTTTTTGACATCTACTTCGAACAGTTACTTACTTAAATTTATTAGTTTAGCGTGAGTGCGATTAAAAATTTTTATGTCTTGAATCCTTGATGTTTTAAAATAATCTAGAAGCTTAGTAGATGTGCCTGGCTACTTTTTGATAAAAATATTTTCATGCGAATTTCCTCGCTCAAGGCTAATAACTTGGGTTCCTACCAAGATATTATTTATTTTTTGAAAGCCTGATTCCAACTGTAATATAAAATAAATAATTTAATGTTTTACAAATTATGAGAAATATCAAATCAAACTGAATATGAGAATATACAACGCACTAATAAAATTCCGAGAGGAGGACACATGCACGGAAAACTGTCAAGATATTTTTGAATCGTATCGATTTTTCTTTTTTGATTGCTTAAAATATTTCTTCTTGCATCAAATGTACTGTTCCACTGCAATAATACGTCTTCAGTGGTCTGGTTAGTTTGATTGGGATCTTTTAAGCAAGAAAAACTATTTTTTTCCTGTAACGTACAATCGCCTACAAAATAATAAATTATCATGTTTAATGTAGGTTGGTTTAGTTGTATACTACAAAATGTTATGTACTACCAGAGCTTTTGCCTGACTCCTTCCCTCTTCTAGTAACTTTTAATTGGATTCGCCAGTATTTGTATACGTCATACAAGCAATCTTCAGCACTGATTACTTGGCGATTCACACCTTGACTATAAGGGTGGTAAATGTAATCTTTGTCTTTAGTTGAAAAGAGTTCAAAAAATTTATCACGAAGTTTCATAAAAGTTTCGTTTAAAATTCTGTAAATATAAAATTAGTATTATAAATACGTTCATAAAAAAATTGCATTTCAATTCCTATTTCCATTTTTTCATTTACACATACTATTTACACATTATTATTTATTAGCAAATTATTGAAAATGATAATCATACTGGATGTCAGCAAAGCAATGATCCAGGTATAGTCCGATAAAGTTGTTAAGGTTGTTTGTTTTTAAATTATTAATGCACTTACGTATATGATTGCTCATTTCTTTTCAATTCACGTAAAATAATCATATCTTTTATACATTGAAAATGTACTCTCTGCGTTGACACATAGGCTTATAATATAAGTTTTTCCAATAAACCATGTGACATAATTAAATGATATAAATAATTTTCAACGAGCTCAGCATCTAACATACAAAACAAGGCATGCACGAAAGAAACGTTTGTAGATGATTTAGGATACGTATAAGTAAGGTAACATGAATAAATACAGATAATATAAAATGAATAATAAATGTTAACGGGTGATCGAGTAGTATTACTTTGAGCAGGAAGTGTGGACTTTTGCGTGTTTCGGTCTTCACAAGGATATTCTATGCGACTATTTGAAGTATCATTCATACAATTCTCTTCATCTAGGTTATCCATTTCGATTTCCATTGCTTTAACGATGGAGTCATTAGCAAACATAACGTTTTCTATGCAATGTTTACAAAAATATTCAACAACGTCTAGCGAAAACTTTTTTTCTTCAACAAAGAGATCGAGGTTATATTTACTCATGGGTTAAATGCTCGTTGATATTTATTATTGTCTCATCCATCTCTTCAATTTCACAACAAATTTTCACAAGTTCACGCACTTACATTAACAGCCACTACTTATTAACTTTTATTATTGCACGCCAACTTTCTGCCAAACCAAACGCAAGGCGTAAATAACATTATATAAGTATATTCAATGAATGCATGGCAGTGTACAGTTATACCAAAACTTGGGTCAGGGACGCGATCAAGTGCTTGGTGCTGCTGCCTTTCGATCTTGAGTGAGCAGTCCACCCAATCTGAGGGATCAGTTACACCAACCACTTGGGGGTGCTGCCCACAGTAGCGTTGGTAAGGTGGCATTGCCAATTTTTTTCCAGTGTACATATATGTACAGTTAGTGTTGGCTGCAAAACTCTTTCACAAGAGTGACAATAGTACTTAATCGAAGAGAGGGATAGAGAGCCGTGTCAGTACTTAAGGTATTGATGAGTAGCTGCTCTCGCAAATAGTTACGGCGACTCATCAGTTTCAAGGTCAAAAGTGCAAGAAAGAGAGATGTGCTCAGAAAGCTTCATAACAGCTTGGTCTGGATACAAGGAGACTGGATGTCTACTTAAAGCAGCAAAACAAGTACTATATAGCGGTCTCCTCTGAAGCAACGTTTACCAGGCTAAGCCACATAATGACGACTGATAAAAACTTGACAACTCGACTGTTTATGTCCAACGCTTGTAAGTTTCTGCTTAAGCGCGCGAGCTGCCGAGACAAAAGCTAGAGCAACGTGTCTGCTAAAGAAAGGGCGAGTACGGCGAGTAATTCTCTCTCTCTCTCTCTCTCTCTCTCTCTCTCTCTCTCTCCTTGCCTCGAGCTCCCAGCAAGCACTAGTTTACATGCAAATTAACAACGGTTTTTACATTAATTACAGTACGGAACAATGTAAAAAATTTTTAATCTTACAGTAGCTGCTGATATTTTAGTTTTTTTAGTTGTAATTACCGTTTCTGAAAATATTTTATTGGAATCAGTCTTCAGGAGATTAAGAAAAAGGTACACGCTAATCCACAAATCATCAAAATTTCCTTACCGTAAAATCATCGACTGTACTCAATGTTTCTAAATATTGTACGTACAATTTCATCCTGGTATTAAAAACAATGTTAAAAAATAAAATTAATTCAGGTGAAGAAAAAATTTAGGATTTGATTATACTAACATGATATATTACTTTGCGAGCAATCTCTATCCTGCATAATACGTAGTCGGTATAAAGAGAACATCAAGGAAAAATCTTAATTGATATTAAAATAAGTATACTTATGCAGTTGGACAAATCTATCAAACATATGCATACTGCTTTTACGTATACGAATGCAGACTATTGTTACCCTTACATGCTACAATCAACATATAAAATTGATTTATAGAATCGATCTCTTCATTCATCGGTGTATGTTTTATTTGACGAATTGTTTTATTCCTACCAATCTAACATAAATACCTTTTTTTAGGATGAACGAAATCCAACTGAACATTTAAGAAATTTCAAAAATGTTTATCAATGTACAGTTAATCTTGAATGTTTAATTGTTGTTTCATTGAACCATGGTTTAACAAATTTTTTTTTTAGTTTTAGATTAACCAGGTACAAAAATGTTTAGTAGAGAAGAAGCAATAAAATTTGAAAATCCATATAGAGTTGTTAACTTTAAAAGAGAAAATGAAAAGCGTATTAATGCTGTTTCACTTCAAGAATTAATGAGTATTGCTCAACTATTATTTCATATTCCAGTACACCACAGGATAACCATTGTATTGGAACAAGATGGTAAGTCAATAATGTATTTTGAACAAATGTAAGATTTTTAAATTTAAAAGCTTAAAAAAAATTAGAACGTATTTATATAATTCTTATGGAATGGCCATACTCAAAATTCAAGGCCCGTAATCTTAATAGAATTGAATTAAAAAATAAAAAAAATAACTATAAAAAACTATGCAACTGAAGACAAATATAAAAATTTTTATCCCTACCTAAGCTCTTAAGCTAGAAGTAGCGTTCTTTTAACCACCATATACATAAACAAATTTAAAAAAACTTCTTTTCTGTTTTGTTCCTTCTAAATTTGATGTTTTTATGTATAAATGAGAGCTATTTCCAAAATAAATTCTTATTAATGCAGGATTAAATTTTTGAAAACGTGTTTCATTAATAATTGTTCAGTTTTAGTTAAAAAGTAATAGGGAAACCTGTGTAGACAGAGAAGATACCAGGGGGAATACGCGTTTATGTTGTGTGGAAAATGATGTATTGAACAAGACTAACAGTGGCTGCACATGGCCTTCGAATGGGTAGTTTGGTGCACAAAACGCAATACCTTAGCAAGTTAACCCTAAATCAAAAAACTTTTGTGCGGCCAATAGAAGCTAAAATATAAATGAGTTTCCTACCACGTGCAGTTCTGACTAATCGAGATTTTGTCTCGTAAGATTCGTGTGCAAGCAGTTGCTGAGCCGAGAATTTAACCTTTTTGCCATTATTTAAACATGCGAGTAAGAAACCCCACTTCAACACTGATTTTCTTACCAAAAGCTGCTGCTTGACATTTTTTACGTACTTTTTTCTAATAATATAGGTCTTTAAATATAATACATACAAATCTCAGAATGTTAATTAAATAAATCGCAAGAATTACAATAGAAAAAAATTATGCTTGCTTCTAAGGGCTGTATATGATCGTTATAATACTTTTTAATTATTGCAAAATTAAAATACTACAAGCGTGAGATCTTAAGTAACAAATAAATCAGCTCTTGTGAACCACCAGTTCTTAATGTACAAATCAGCTTAAAAAAATGCTTTTTTTACATAGAAACTGCAATTGTGTGACAGCGTTTAAATATACTACGTCTACCTATAGAAATCTTTTTCTGACATGCAAAATGCACCTATCAATAAAATTTGACAAGTAAAATATCTAGTAGCTAAGTAAGAGTAAAAGAGCTGCAGTCACTAAAACAAACCGTACGTAGTGATGGTCTAGAAGGTGTTAAAATAAAAACATGCAATTCATCCCATCGTTCTGAAGGATAAAAGCAGAAAGCTCTTCAACCTGCCAAAGAGTCCAGCGCAATATTAAAAATTATAAGGCTTAGTTTACTATTGAAATACGCTTTATGGATAATTATCTATAAAAATACGCTAAGTAACCTAGTAGGCTTCCTAACTAAAAAATAGAAAATTCAATACAACAGATGCCTTTAACCAAGTGACTAAGAGCGCTTCTCAAATGTTGAATAAAAAATCAACACAATGTGTGCTTGCAATTAAACGAATAAGTATGCTTCCTAAATGACGAATAATTAATTAACAAAATATGGACCTTTTACCAAACGATCAACTGCACTACCTGTCTATTAAATAATTAATCAACAAAACAGAGACCTATTAGATCCAGGGTGCAAATTAAAAAATAATTAATCAACAAAATAGGCACCTTAAATAGAGGACCCGGGGCGTTTTTTGATGACAGTATAATTAATTAACACAACAGATGCCCTTAATCAGACAACCTACTGCGCTTCTTGATTATTAAATAAATAACCAACATAATACATACCTTTCACTAAACATCCTACTGCCCTCCTTGATTATTGAATAAGTAATAGGTACAACAGAGTCTTTTTACTAACGACCCAGGGCACTTCTACTTATTGCATTGAAAAACAACACTACGTGCGTTTTTGACCAAACAACCTTAAGTACAACTTAATTATTAAAAAAAAAGTTAGCACAACAGGCACCTTAAATGTAAGGGTGTTCCTTAATTATGAAATGAATGATTAAAACAACAGGTGCTTTAAACCAACTGTTCACGCCAATCGTGAACATCTAATTTTCTTTCTTCATTTCTAATTTTCCTTGGCACAAATCGTTTGATGTAATAGTTAGATTTCCTAGAATTGTAACAGCTGTAACTTTTCTTTATTACTTAAATTGATTACTTATCAATTTTCCTTTATATTCATACATACTTTGATTTCAGCACTTATATTTTCTTGTCTTATCTCTCTACTGTACTGTAACTCTTAACGTTCAGTCCAGTATAAATGTTAGACAATATAATGTAAATAATTTTGACACTGATGATGACTACTTATGCGTATTTTTATATAGTTAACTTTTGTTATACACTTAACTTTTAATGTAACAAATCAGACACGTCTTAACTATCAAAGAACCCAAATTAAATGCCCTCTGAGCTCTGTTTACCACTTTTATAACACACACATACACTATTAAATAAACGCTATTAAAACGACTAAGAACAACTAAAAATTTTATTGATCCTTGGTAGTTTCCGAACAAGTAATTTTAAAAGATCCCCGCACTCGGCAAGTACTTTGACTTGACCGTAACACCAATAACTTAATGCACTTTGTTATTATTAAATAAATAATTAAGAAATTATGGGCCCCTCACAAAGCATCCTACTACGCTAATTAATTGTTAAATAATTTATCCAAACCACAGAAAACCTTCTACCAAACCACCCATAGCACTTTTCAATCATTTAACGAAGAATTAACGATATAGGCGCTTTTAACCAAACGAACTAGTTCGTTTATTACGGATTAAATACATAAAAAAAGACTACATGCGCCTTGAATGACCAAGTGTGGTTTTTGATTATTAAATAAATAATTAACAACACATGGAAGGGGGATCGAGTTGGAGAGTATAAGTTTTTGATTTTGTTGTTGCTGCGGTGGATAAACTGTTCGGACGCTACCACTGGTATGAGCGATTATAAGGTAGAAGAAAAGGAAATCTTATCTTTATATTTATTGTTTGCAATTTCTTTTGGTCCATTTGGCACTGGAAGTTCTTGAACTGGTGGTGCAACAATTAGTAAGCTAAATTCTTCTCTGTTAACCCTTTAACCACCATTCTTACCGTTAAGTGGGGTCTCTTGAAAGGAATGATACTTGTTTTTAAAAGCTATTTTTGACAATAATTATTTTATTTGTATATTTTCTGTTATTATTATGCTATTACTTATTTACAATATATTTAAGTTAAGTCAATAGTATTTTTTCGTCTTAGTTATTTTTGCCTTGCATGTTAAGCTTCCACTATATTTCTATTTTCGACTTCGCAGGTTTACTCCATGATTCTTATTAATAAAAAAATCGAGTTTGTGCGACCGTTTTGGTAGTAGAGCTATAGAACAACGAATTTGCAGTATTGTTTTCTGACCTTTAAATTTTTGTTAATCAAAAAGCAGTACAGCACAACGGTGCTGGTAATAACAGAGGCTAAATTTAAGTTTCATGGCAGACATATTCGATTATTGTCAAAGCCTCAAGATTATAAAGAATAGCGATGATTGGTGAGCATTATTGTGGTTTTCAGATAGCGTGAAGATAGTGAGATGGCGTTAGATGCTCGGAAGAGAGCAGTAATTGGGCGTTCTTTGTGCGAGCGCTCGCAATACGAACGATACTAATCGGCTGTTTTTCTATATGTGAGTAATTGCATGTCTGCTTAGTGGGGACCTCCTCTTTAACCCAAAAGATACAGCTTCAGGCTTTTGAGTGCCATTTTCCCACCGTTTGAGTTTTGCTGCTGGCATTTGCCCTGCAGTTGTCTTTATCTTTCTCTCGCTAATTCCAGCACTGCGTGCGGTCATCTGAAACTATTTGGTAGTGCAGGGAGTGGGGTAGGCACATGGACCTGTACGGGTAACAGAGAAATATTGTTCGATCACTATCCTTTTTCTCCTGCTTTTCTTTTCGTAGTCGTTTCACTTGGTTGTGGATATAGTATTCGTTATATTAAAAAAGCGTAGAGATTGAAGTCACAAGAATCGAACATTCATAGAGTGGAGTTTAGAATGCAACGATATTCGATTGTCGCGAACCAGTTGATAGTTGCAGATCATGATTGCCATCTTAAAAAATTTAATAGAGTTTGTTTGTAAAGCATGTATTGATTCCATTGGGAAACAAACTAATGTTATTGATAAGTTGGAAACGTTGCCTCCAACGCTGCCAACATATGGAAATGGTAGAAGTGGGGAAGCGATTCATCGTAACATTTTATCTAATTTGCAAATACCAACGTTCTTGGTAAGTCATGAGGACTAGGAATCGCTTAAAACACTGTTCACATCAATAGGCTTTAACAAAGAAATTTTGAAAGCTGTTAAGTTGCAGTGTTTAATGTCTGTAGTTTAGAGAGCGGCCGCCTAGCGTTTTCGGGGCCTCGAGATAACTGATTCGAATTTTAACGTAGCCTGGGAGAAACTTACTCATCGTTATGATAACGTCAAACTTCGTTTAGCAAAACATATCGAAAATCTGACAAATATACTATCGGTATGGCCGTGTAACCTATTCGATCTACTGAATTAAAGCCTAAGCTTCCTAACTATAAAAATGTAGTAAAGTTTCTGGAAAAGCGCATACAGGCATCTCAGGAATCTCGCTCTCCGTCAGAGACGACCAAGTCAAGTCTTTGGGGGGAAGTATGGGTGTAAAGAGAAAGGAAACGGTAAGCAAGTATCGGCAAACACAGTCTATTGTGACGAGTCATAATCAAGTAACAGATGTGTACTTTATGCTCTGTTTGAATTGTTTGTAAGGGTTGCACTTTGCATCACATTGTCCGTCTGAAAAAAGATGTGCAACATGTGAGAAAAGGCATCACATGAAGTTACATATTGAAACATCAAAAGCTAAGTCGGATAATACTGGAAGATTGGGATCGAAAAAATTGGATAAGAGTGGTAAAAATTAGGCTGATCACTCCATTGCTAGTATTGG